TTCGGGATAAAAATAATAATTATATTTACTATGATGAAATCTGAAGGTTTGCATTTGTTGAACAATTGATCGATTAATTTCAATTATTTTTTCTTCAAAAAGAAATAAAAGAATTCTTTTGTTGTACTTGAAAATATTGAAAATTTCGTTATTTGAAAAATATTTTTTGATGCTGTTTTGTAATAATTTTAAAATTGATTCAATTTTTTCAAAAAAGTTCGAGCATCGGTAATGGTTGTTTGCAATCTTTATCAGAAGATGAAGTAATGATTTGAAATCATGCTGATCTTCTAAAATTTTTTGATCTTCGATAATTTTTTTAAAATTTTCATAATTTTCTTCGATCTGTTCGTTATCCTCCAAGTATTGTAAAATACAACTCTGAATTGCATTCATTTTTTCCAAGTATTTTTTAATTTCTTTTTTGCTCATCTTTAATTTTGTTTATTATATAAAAATATTTTTGAATACTTTATTTCTCTCAAATTTGATTTGAAAATAACTTACTTATTTACAATATCTTATTTAAAAAAATACTAAAAGCATATTCTCCTAAGTATAAAAAATTAAATTGAATGTGTCAAATTCTAGTTTTCCAATTTATTTTGTGTATTGAATTTTAATTCTCTTCATTTAGGTTTGTTATTCTCAGAGATTTTTTATTAACACCATTGATTTAATATAATAGAATTTTTAAAAAACTATTATCAATGCTCATGAATGGATAATGAAATGTTATATAATAAATGCTTGTGAAATGTGATATAATAAATATTTGTGAAATGTGATATAATAAATATCTGTGAAATGTGATATAATAAATATTTGTGAAATGTGATATAATAAATGTTTAAGAAATGAGATATAGTAAGTGTTAATGACTAATGAAATAAAAAATAGATAATAAAAATATAACCTCATCCTCATCAAAATTGTTTCTCATTCAATTATTAACTACTTATGGACTGCCTACTGCATTATAGACATATTCGTATTACATAGTAGGTGGTCACAAAAACGAAAACATAAATATAACCATAAATGTACTTACTACGTAGACACAAAAACGATAATCAAAAATAATGTTCACAAAAATGACAACGATGAAAACAATTTCAAAAACACACTCAACAATCACTTTTTCACATCACCTCTTTTTGTATAGATTGCTTTGGGAGGTTCAACAAATCGTACTTTGACAAAGGAATGATGATACGTAAAATGTGGAGAATGAGCGATGTTCTTAAAAATCCTTCTTTTCATTATACTAGAGTGGTATATAAAACGATAATCCATTTAGCAACGAGTTTTCATTGAAAGGTGGATGATCGTTTTATATACATCTTTACTTACTTAATTAATATATAATTTAACTATACAATGAATCTTTGGCTATTCAATGTTTTTATGATATTATTTAAATTTGATTAAATCATTTTTTTTTTTGTAAATATTATCCATGGGTTTTTGGAGCATTTTAATTTTCCACCGCCTTAATTTCATTACTATATATATAATAGAAATTTGATATTATCAATGCTTTTAATTAATGATTTCACATTAGAGAATACTAAACGATTTAAACTTTTTCTTCAAAATCATTCATAAATGGATCTTCCACTCTTTTCTTTCCTGGCACATTAGGTATAAACACCAAATTCTCTTCAGAATTATAACTTGGTGCCCTTAAGTTGGAATTTGTTGCCGTATCTTGTTGCATTTCAGCAGAAACATCATCAGTTCTATAATTATTTGATAATCCATTTCCATTATTTATTCGTTTTAGAAGGATTACAACAAAGATTATCAATGCAATAACAGCAATTAATTATTTAGTTATTTATTGGTGTTATAATCTAATTTTCATTTTAACCTCCGAGTCAATTAATTATATTTATAAATATAACATTCATCAATGCTTTGATATTTCCTAAAATTATAATTATAAATACTTACTTATTACAAAAATATAGTTAATATATATAATATATGTATTAATATTGAGATAAATTTGTTTCTAGAGATGAAAAATAAACTATTGAAAAATTCAATTCATTTTAGTAATGAATAAAAAAGAAATTGCTAGCAATAATTTATCAGCACCAAATAAAACAAATCTTAATACAACTCAAGATATTCCAATCATTACAAATAATAAATCTTCTAATGTCGACCAATCAAAAGAATTAATAATTATTAAGAATAATACTCCCAACTCCTCATCAGCACAAACAAAAGATATTTCTAGTCCACATTCACCACAAACCAACCAAAATGGCCAACCTTCACAAAGCCCTATTGTCATTTCTTTTGCAACGAAAAATAAAAAAGATATAATTATACAGAAAGGACAAAACCAACAACGAAACATAAATATCTCTGATTACAAGCCATCACCAAAACCGCCAAACAGCATTCAATTTAAATTTAGTCCAGAAGAACTGGAAAATCAAAAAATTGCCGATGAAAACCGTCAGATTGTCAAATCAAACAAATTTCACATCACAGAATCAGAAACGATAGACGAAGATGAGCACATTCAAACCAAGAAGAGGCTGATTGAAAAAGTTGCAACCCACCAAAACACATCAATTTTTGTCAAAAAAATTTCAACAATTGAAGCGACGATAGAAATACATTCAAATTTGAAAGAAGACGAAAAACAAACAAAGAAGATTTGCGTACTCAATTTCGCCAATCCATTCAAACCTGGTGGCGGTTATTTAAACGGTCGAATAGCACAGGAAGAGACTCTTTGCCGACAGACGCTTTTATATCCAACTCTCGAGCACAGCAGGATGTACGAGTTCAACAAATCAGATCAGATGAATTCAATTGAATACGATACGATGATTTACTCACCAGATGTGCATGTTATACGAGATGATAGAAATCCAATATTGAATGATAATATATTTAGAATAAATGTCATTTCTGCACCTGCTGTTGACAATAGAAAAGACATTTTGGATCTTAGCAAGGCCGAATTCGTGATGGAGAGAAGAATAAGAAAAATTATTTCAGTGGCAATTGATAAAAAAAACGATTTTATTGTTTTAGGCGCTTTTGGATGCGGAGTTTTTAGAAATGACCCAAAAGTTGTGTCCAGAATATTCAAAAAAGTGCTTGTTGATGAAAATCTTAAAGATTATTTCGAATCTGTGGTTTTCGCTATATATAAAAATGATGAAAATTATAATGAATTTGAAAACACTTTCGTATAATGATATTAATGTTAATTTGCTTTTACAATTTTTGTTTATTAAAATGAATTCTCATACTTTTTTTGGTAAAGTTTTATTTTTATCTGTATAAGATATTCATTTTTTAATGATAAATAATATGGCATGTCTGAAATGCTTTCTTTCTTTTTGTGTTTGAATAATCTGATATTTGATTATCTGAATTTTCACTTTTTTCTTCATTTATTTAAACTTTAAATATAATTAAATCACATCAATATATATATAGAAATGAATATTCATAAAGTATCGATATAATACCACTTGCTTATCTGGCCGAGATGTTTAATGCTCTCAATAATTGAATCAACAATTGAAAATATTTTCAATTGAAATGTTTTATCGTAATAGAAAAATTGAATGTATTCTTCACAATTTTTAATCGCATATGAAAACTAAATAATTAATTATTTTTATGTCGATTGGAGGGATAGTTTTAGGAATTATTTTTATATTACTCATATTATTTATAGCATACAGACTGTACATATATAAGAAAGGTCTTCCTCTCAATATTTATTTCAATCCAAATTCAAAAATCGCTCCACTAGTTTCCACAATTCACACTATTACCCAACGTTATCACCCAACGCCTTGGCTTTTCAATGGTCACCTTCAATCGTTATATTCAATGCAATTCCGCCCATTCAAAAAATTCAAAAATGAACGTGAGCGTGTTACATTCCCAGATGGAGGCGAAGGAATCATAGATTGGTTCCACCCTACAGTTGAGGTGACTGTTCAAGATGGAGATTCCAGCTATCCTAAAAAAGATGATATTATAGTAATACTTCATACTCTTGGAGGTGGATCTCGTGAAAAAGTAATTAATTACTTTGGAGTTGCATGTGCCAAAAAAGGCTATACCGCTGTTGTACTCAATTGCCGAGGTTGTGCCGGCGCAAAATTTACTACAAAGAGAGTTTACAATAGTTTTGAAATTGATGATTTCAAGCATTCAATTGATAATCATGTCAAAAAGAGGAATCCTCGCCACATTTTCATGGTTGGCTTTTCAATGGGTTCTCAACAATGTACAAGATATGCAGCAGTTTACCCAGATGACCTTACAGCAGTTGTTGGTGTCTCTCACTTGATGGACCTTACTAGAGCAACAAAACAAATTGACACATTTCCAGTAAATCGTTTTTATTTACCAAATATCATTGCAAGCCATCGAAGACTTTTGAAAAAACAACCTTATTTAGATCCAGAATATGCCAAAAAGTTGATGAAAATCGATTCAATGGTTGAATTTGATGTAGCATACACAGCTCCATCAGTTGGAATGGAAATTAACGAATTTTGGAAAAATGTTTCGATTTTTGATAAAATTCCGAGATTTGGAACTCCAATACTCGAACTTGTAGCTGAAGATGATCCATTTACAAATAAAGATTTCTTCCCAATTAAAGAAGCAGAAATGGATTATAATCAATTCATGCTTCTTGTTACTGTAAAAGAAGGAGGACATTGTGGATTCATCGAGGGACTAGATGGTGAACATACATTTGTCGAAGATCTTGCTTTTGAATGGTTTGACAAAGCTTCTAAAATGAAAACTAAATAAAGTTGATATAATTCTGTCGTATAAATTATTATTTTTATTTTGTTTCAAATTATTTTATTTTGATTAAAAATAATTATGGTAAGTTTGAAGGATTATTTCTTATATGGTATATTGGAGCTTTGAAATAAATAACACAAAAAAATTATTCAAAAACAATAAATCGATTAAAATACATATAATAATATGAATTCGGTATCGTCGAACGGTTAAGACAAGTGGTTTTCAACCTCAAAACCGGGGTTCGACTCCCCGTACCGAAATTTTTTTGAATACTTTTTTTCATAACAAATCTCCAATATAATAAAAAAAAAACTTATTAATGTTTTTTTTATTAAAAATATATTATTTTAATGTTTTACCAAATTACAGGGAGAGGATCTGTCAGTGGAGAATCAATAGAATCATAATCAATATTGAGTTTTATATCATTTTTGAATAAATTCCTTTTATATTCAACTGAAACAGACTCATCTACTGCATGCTTTTTGATAAATTTATCAAATTTCTTTCGTTTTATTTCCAACTTAAAGAATTTAATATCTTTAATTCGTGAAAGTTCTGTTCTACTGTTTTTGTTAATGCTCATACTGATTCTTTCATCAAAATTTTCATAATCATTTGTTATTTTAATCCATTTTTCAACCAGGTACGAGTCAGATCTCGTCATATATGGAGAAATCAAAACAATTTTATTTTCATTTGATATTCTGTAATCAAAAAAAGTTTTTGATATGTCAAGAATCTGTCCTTTAAAGATATATATTGAATCACATGGATATACACGGCCCAATATTGATATACTATTCATTGCATTCAATTTAATGTGCCTTATTCGAACACATGGCTGATAAACATATATTGTCATTATCATAGATCGATCATCAACTTGTTTAAATAAGGATTCATTAAATTGTAGATTACTATTTATTTCCTTATTTTCTTGATTATGGCTATGTTTAGCTGCTTGCATAAATAAAAACTGTGTAATTTCTGACCAAAAAAAATTGAATTCATTAAATGTCATGTCTCGTTATATCCTGAAAACAAAGTGATGTGAAAGACATTTTTACATATTAGTGCTTTAAATATTTATTTTATGATTGCTAATGTTTTGCTGAAATATTTTTTGTTGGAGAGTAAAGCTGAATTTAGAATTGAGAGGAAATCATGTAAAGTTCTCAATTTTGATTTTTTAATATTCTTTATAAAAAATTAATATATAATGCTTAAATTCTCAATAATCATATTATGCACTTGCTATATTTTTTCAGATTGTAAAATATTCGGCTTCTTACCTTCTTCTTAAAATGCTTTTTTTTCAATTTCAAAAATATTTTGAAGACTCAAAATATACAAATATATGTTTTTCATATTGAAAAATTGGAATATAATCATTATTTCTCATTTGGCTGGATTTGAAAAGATATTTACATTGAAGATATATTTTTATGTAATCTGCTTAAATAATCAATTATATTTCATGTTGTTTATTTATGAAAACTATGCGGTTTATTTATGGAAATAAATAGCAGTTTTTTATAACCTAGCATAAAATTACGTATTTAATATCAAGAGCTTTCCGGTAGAAGCTTTTTTATTTTTTTAAGCTATAATTATCTATTAAAATTTTTTAAATTTAATTTAAATACAATATTCTTCAGGTGCGTTTTAAGATATTCCTGTTTTTTTAAATCTGAATAAGCTCAAGAAAATTTTTTTTTTTCAAATTTAATAACTTTACAAATGCTGTTTGTAAAGTTATGAAAACTCATACAATTTAATAAATGGAATAAAAAACTACAGCTTTTTTTTATTTTTATTTTATTTATAATAAAATAGGATTATTTAAAGTTAACGCAAAAGAGATTAGTTGAGACTTGATTTTTCTTTTCAAATTGTTCAATTGATTGAATATAATTGTCGATTTCTTGAAGATCTTGCTTAGATGTAATTCCATCAATGAGGAAGCATTTATTTTTAGAGATAACTTCAAATATAAATGATGCTGTTGGTCGTTCTGAAGGATTTGGACTGAAGCACTTCTCAAAAAGTTCTTTATATTCTTTAGACATACCTTCTGGTAATACTGGAAAAGTACCATCTATAACCTTTGTCTTCAAATAAACGGGAGATAATTTTTTAGAGGGATCTGTTTTCAATTTAAATGGCTCAACACCTGTAACTAGTAAGTAAATCATACGACCAAGTGCAAATACATCAACCTTTTCATTGTATAAGCTATAATTTGGTACAAAAAGTTCTGGTGCTTGATAATATGCTGCGTCATCTCTTAAAACTGTTTTCGGTTTATCGTGTTTAATATCAAATTCTCGTGATGTACTGAAATCAAAAATTTTTGGATAAAAATTATCATCAAGCCAAATAGAATTTGGATTTATGCTTCGATGAAGAATTTGTTGACTGTGGAGAAAACGAAGTGCAGCAGAAATTCCTAAAATACATATTTGTCGTTTAACTGGTGGTAAATTAAGATGCGAACTTCGAATATGGCTTTGAATTGACTTATTTTTAAAGTATTCAAGAAATATAATAGGATTTGGCTGGTATTCTTTCTCATTAAAATCATCAAACTTTATTTTAGTATTGTATAAATCTAATCCTTTAAATTTTACAATCGCTGGGTGATTTAACGAATTCAGAATTAAAGCTTCGCGAAGAAGCGAGAGTTGTCTATACCAGCGGCTTTCTTGTACAGAATCTTCACCTTTATCTTCTTCTTGAAGGGCTGATGGATCAAAAACTTTGCATATAACTTTTTTATTCGTACTGGCTTCAGTTGCTGTACAGAATCTAACTGCTTCAGTTCCATTATTAATATAAAGTTCATCATCATCATCGTCTTCAGCAAATGTTCCGTACTTTATAAAAAGATCAGAAAAATCTTTGTTATTATTCATATTACAAATTGATTTGACCAATTGGTTATTTAATTGTATTTTACAATATGGTAATTTTGACAATATCTCAATATAGTATTGAAAACAATTAATTACTATTTCTTTTATAATATTTATAAATTATATTATATCAAAAATGTTCATATACAATGATAGTATAATTATTCATATCGTGTATTTCATTGTAGTAAAAAGAGGTAAGGAAAATAACTTTTGTGAGAAATTGTGAGAATTATAAAAATGTAATTATCTTATTATATTAAATAAGAAAAGATATATTTTACATAAATATAAATTTTATGTAAATATATTAATATTAAAAAAATTATATTTAAAAAAATTTAAGGGAAATGATTAAATATTAGTTTTTTTTTTTAATTTCAAAGGAAAAGTTAATAAATTAGACTTTTTGAGAAAAAAAATCTAACTCTTTTTGTTTGTTTGGAATGAAGTATTGAAAATTGAGTGAATTTCGTTATGGTTGAATTTTAAGAGATTTACTTCGGTTATTTGTTTAATTGAGATCTGTCAAAATTTATTCAATTTCATAAAATCTGTGTATCTTCGAAAATGATTTATTTTTATAATATTTTTAACTATATTTCATATAGATATATATATGAAATAATTTATATGAAATTAATTAAATGCAGCAATAATAGATTTTTTTTTAATACCCAATTTAGTAAAAACATTGGCGAAATAATATGCTTAATTAAATTTTTATACCAATTTCAATTTATACCTGACAAAAATATAAATATTATAACTTTTTAATATGCTTGCTATTTTGAGAACCAATATCGAAAACTTTGCTTTTAAACATCTGATATCCGATTATCAGTTTGAAAATCTGATATCGAGATTATCAAGTCTGAAAATTGATATGAAAAGAAATATAATTACCGAGATCGCATTATCTCAAACATATTTATCTTTTTTTATAATGAATATTTTTGATATAAAATATTAAAATATAAATAATAGAATATATATATGTTTATTTTTAAAATTAAAATAAAAAAAATACATATTTTTATAATGGATATTGGAGATTCATCAGTTTACTTTGAGTTGTGTATGATACTCAAAAGATTATAATGCATATAATTATAATTATTTATTTATCATTCAATTTGAGTGATTCAATCACTTCTCTATTTGAATTGCATATATTTATATATCCTAATAATATATATATATTATTATTATTATTTTTATTCATTTTATGATTTCAGACCGCTTTCAATACCATCAACTAAATATGAAAATTCTTGTTTGTTAAGATGGATGTCTGGATTAATTCCATGTTGTGAAATTATGCTAACAACTTGGCCTGGCGTGAGATTAAGACCTAATAATCTGAGAAATAAAAGAACTTCATCGAGATCAAGTGTACCACTGTCATCTTGATCAAGACTTTCGAAAACCATATTATAAAATTCTGTTTTATTAATTCTGTATAAGCCAAGAATCTCCAAAAACTTCTTAAATTGATTAAAATTGATTTCAGATTTTCCTCGACCAACTAAAAGAATACAAAGCAGAGAATATTGTTCAGGCATTTCAAGCATTCGGCAAAGAACTTTAAGTTCGTTCTCATCTAGTAAGCCGTTTTCATTTTGATCAAGGTTGGCATATATTGCCATAACTTCTTCTTCTCCTTTATTGCATGTATAAACTCGGTATGACGACATAGGTTACTATTATGAAATTTTTCAATGGTTAATTGGTCGATAAAGAATCAATAGTTTTTTTCAATGAAAAAAGTTTTTATCCATAAAAATCAAATATTTTTTTTATTTTCTATACTTTCTTGTATTTCTCTATGGAGTGTTATTCTTCTATAGCTTTCATCCCAAAGTTCCATTTTCTCAATTATTGGGTACGCAACATCATAATTGTCATCCAGCCATTTTATCAAGACACCTTTATGTCTTTTGATAAGTCTGTCCATTTTTATTTCTGTATTTTCAGCAATTATATTAGATATGCTAATCAATTCATTGTGTGAAATTCCTGTTCCAAATTTGGTTATTATAACTTTCATTATTTTTGTATTTTTTGGATCAAAACCTGATAAATATTTTTGAATTTTTTGAGTATCTGACGTATTTTTATCTGATTTATTATATTTTTTCGTTTTACTTAACATTATCAATGAAGTGAGTATCAAGTAAAAAATTTTTAAAAAATTTTCAAAATTTCTTATTCAAAACGTTTAGAATTTTGCAACGTCGTTTGAATTTTTTTTGAAATGATAAATAGCTTATTAACCAAATATACAGGAATAGGAGTAGAGAAAACAAAAGATCAGAATTATTCTGAAGCTAAATTAGAGT